ATATATATATAAAATTATCACAACTATATATTTAATATTACTCCCACTAGTGTAGTATACTACTCCCTTACAAGTCCTAAGTGTGTGACCCTTTAGGTATCCATAACACTGGCAATGATATTAATATAAATTAATACCATAGATAATAAGCGGTATCTAGCAACACATTATTACCCCCAGATTATGAAAAAGACGTTCATCTCATCAATACCTTCTACGACACAAGACATTCTATAACTATTATCCTTCTCTCCTAAATGTCATGATTTAACACAAGGCATGGGATGTGTATCCTTGTATAGTTAAATCAGCTGTTACTGAATCTCAAGTAGACTGGCAGGGATCAGATATTTATCAGTCTCTAGATAGCGACATATCTGGGCATGGCCATGCACTTTCCCAAGTCCTACTATTCAGTGTGCCCATTGACATTATACTTCTATACAGTAGAAGGGACAGATCCTGTATCTGTTATTCACATCTCTAAATATGCTTAGCGGCATACCCAACGCATAACTGTACGTCTACCAGTATTTTAGATAGCATTAGTTATGAATCAAAGCATACGGCCCCACATATTAGAGAATGTAATAACTTCAAGTCTGAGGATAGTTATAGCAAGGTCGATTTGAGAATACTGATAAACACATTACTGTAGATCCATGCAATATTCTCAAGATGGGTCAATCCAGTCACATATTATAAATATAATATGCACCTACATACAGATTAAGATATCACAATACCTATAGTCTATGAGACGCAACTATCTCATCTCGTACGTACTAGTCTTGATACGCTATGACGTCCGTATTATCATAAAGTGCGACTAGGGATATTCTAGACATAGCCTTCGTCAAGAAGTAACAGTCTAATAATCAGAACATCGTAGTCCTCATCTATGTTACTGAAGCGCTATCGTCTATGGACTGAAACTATGTTATGTTACACGAGATATAAAACATACTTCAAGGCCTTTCATTCATGATAAAGTGTACAGTTACAAAGGTATTTGATTGCCGCTAGGGCACCTAAATACAACAATCTCCCACTTGCCCTAAGGCCAATCAAGCATTTCTCGAATGCCCATGGACCACGTATGACTCTCGTGTTTAGGCTTTCCCAAAGCCTTCGTCAACGGATCCGCGATATTGTCGTCTGTACCTATCTTGCAAATCTCAACGTCCCCACGTGCAACGATTTCTCGTATGATGTGATAACGTCTAACGATGTGTTTGGTCTTCTGGTGAGACCGAGGTTCTTTCGCTTGTGCAATTGCCCCATTGTTGTCGCAAAACAACGGTATAGGGTTCTTGATGCTAGGAACCACTCCAAGCTCAGTAATAAAATTCTTGAGCCACACACCTTCCTTGGCTGCCTCGGCTGCAGCCATGTACTCTGCTTCTGTAGTGGAATCAGCGGTAGTATCTTGCTTGTAACTCTTCCAGGTAACAGCTCCGCCATTCAAACAAAACACATACCCTGCCTGCGACTTGAAGTCATCTCTA